CTGGTGGCCAGGAGCAGACTTGCAGAATGTGCCCTTTGGAGATGTAAATTATTATATATGCCTAAGTGGGTTTTTTTGTTTGTGTGTATTTTAAAAAAGCTAAAGTGGATAGAGAGAAATACTTTTAACTAATGGTATATGGAGGGGATTATAATCAATGTAATGAAACAAGTTATATAATGGTTGTATGTGAAACTCAATCCATAATAAAAACCTTAAAAAGAAAAGAAAAAAAAAAAGTTAACCATTAGCTGGAAAAGTGGTGCTTACAGTTTTCTGGAATTCTCAAGGGCCTGTGTTCGAACACTACCAGGAAAAAGGTTCAGCAGTCAATAGTGCTCCTTACAGTGAGATGCTCATGGAAGAGCTGAAGCCTAAATTTCAGATTAAATACAAAGGACTGGTATTCATGGGTGTTGTGATCTTGCATGGTAATACATGTCTACCCACACTGTTGACACTGCAAAAACTTCATTTTGAAGTCCTTATCTTGCTCCATCATACTTTCACCTGTTCCCCTGAAAGCCCTTTGAGGATAAAGATTCACCTCTGAAGAAGTGAAGACAATGGTGTATTCATGGCTCGCTCGCATCTCAGCCAAAAACATTTTTTAATGAGGGAATAGGAAAGCTTGTTGACAGATGGACAAAGTGTATTGAAAAGTAAGGAGGCTATATCGAAAAATTATGTGTTTGTCTATTCTAAAAGTTGATTACAGTAAATTCGACCACCAGAGTGTAGATAATTTTTCATTTACTCTCATACTTTACTTTGTCTTCAAGCTGCCCTTTGAAATTTTCAGTTCAACTCTTTTACTACCTCATTCCATCCATTCGCTTTAGCATCTCCTTTCTGGAAAGCAAGTTTCAGAGTGTCTTCTGACATCCATTTTGGTCTTTTCTTTCTTTTCTGTCTTTCTAATTACCTTTTGCTTTCTTCCTGTATGATGTTCTTGATGTCATCCCATAACTCATCTGGGCTTCGGTCATGTGAGAAACATTGTCTATACTGACAAATGCTCAAATAATCCAATCTGTACTCATTTTAGCGAGAGTGAGGTTTTCTTTATTCAATTTTGCAAAATCAGGCGCCCAACCCAGTACACACAAGCAGATGCACCACATGGCCCACCACAAAAGGTTTTTATACTTGTGTCCAAAAAGCCCCTCCTCCAGTTCCCCATGTATAATTCTATGACAAGTCCCACTTTCCCTCCCCCAGAGAAGCCAAAATGGCTTGCCCTTTGTCTTGATGACTGCATTCTTATTTAATTTCCTAGTCTTAGAAGAGGCAGGTTACAAATCCCTCCCTGTATGTTTTGCCAGGCCTAGCAATCTCATCAACTCCTGAAGATGGACCACGCCCACATGAGTTCATTCTTACAGGTCATTAGTGTTTAATGCATCATATCTGTTCTTAAGATGGTCTCTAAATTCAGGTAGGGTATGTTCAAGGTTATATTTTAGCTCTCATGGACTTGTTTTAATTTTCTTCAGCTTCAGCCTGAACTTCCATATGAACAACTGATGGTCTGTTCCACAGTCTGCCCCGGCCTTGTTTTGGATAATAATATTGAGCTTCTACACTGTCTCTTCCCACAGATACAGTCAATTTGATATTCTATCTGGTGAGGTCCATGTGTGTAGTCACCTTTGATGTTATTGATAAAAAGGTATTTGCAATGAATAAGTCATTGTTCTTGAAAAATTCTGTCATGTGATCTCTAGCATCATTTTTATCACCAAGGCTATATGATTCTCACATAGATACTTATTGAAGTATGTGTTTATTTTTCCTTTTTCTCTTTTCCACTATCCTTACCTTATTGCATATACACCAAACTTGGTTGGTTGTTTGGTTATGTACCATGGAGTCAGTTCTGACTCATAGTTACCCTGTACAGGGTTTCTGAGAATATAAATCTTTACTGGAACAGAAAGCCTCATCTTTCTCCTGCGGAATAGCTGGTAGTTTTGAACTGCTGACCTTGAGGTTCACAGCCTGATTTGTAACCACTACACTACCAGAGCTCCTTATACACCGAATTTGGAGCCTTCTAATTGGTCCCACTGCTCTGTCTCATGCTGTTCCTAACCCAGTCTCCATATATATTATTGCTGAGGTAGCTATTTTAAAACCCATCTCTTCACACTTAAAAAACTCTCCTGCTGGATTATAATCATTGCAATGAAATGAACTGATGTTCCTCCATGTAAACTATCACTCAATTCACAAAACTTTAAAAGGAGAAAAACAAAAAAACTCTCCTGCTTAAAATAAACCTATACTGCTTTCCCTGCCTATGGGTGAAAATCCAAATTCCTAAGATCACATTCAATCTGATTCTAAGCTTGCTTTTCAACTTCATCTTTTCCCCCTCATGCCCCAAACTAGCCTTTTAGTTTTTTTTTCAAACATGCCATGAAATATTATGCTGCCAGTGCTTTTGTTAAGGCTGTTCATTCTGTCTAATGCCTTCCCAAGGAGCCTTGGTGGTACAGTGGTTAAGTGCTTGGCTGCTAACCAAAAGGTCAACAATTTGAACTCATCAGCTGTGCTGCAAGAGAAAGTTGTGGCAGTCTGCTTCTGTGAAGATTGTAGCCTTGGAAATCCTGTTAGGGTACTTCTACTCCATCCTGTTGGGTAGCTGTGAGTCAGAATCTTCTCAACGTCAACAGGCTTATGGCTGTCTCCTCATCGTGACACCCAAAAAAGGCCAAATCTCATTCACCCTTCAAATCTTAGCACCAGTGTTCCCCACTTGGTAAAGTACCCACAGGCTCACTCTCACAATTTCTTCCTCTTATATTCTCATATAAGATTATACACTAGTAGTACTATAGCCATTTGTTGTTGTTAAGACCCACTGAGTCCATTCCAACTCATAGTGACCTAGTATATGATTTCTGAGAAGCAACTTGTGGATTTGAACCACTGACCTATGATTGGCTGTCCGGTGCTTATCCTATAGTGCTACACCAGGATCCCATAGCCGTGTGTTAGAGATGCTTCTCTCTTCCTCCACTAAATTATGATCTCCAGAAAACAAGCAATCTTTGTTTTCTGGAGATCATAATGCCTTTGTTTTACTTTGAATCCATAATATCTAACATAGTAACTGATATACAGGAGCTCAACTAAATGTTTTTTTTAATTGATTATTAAACTAGAACGTTTTGTTCTTGTTATTGCTAAATGCCGTTGAGTCAGTACTGGCTTATAGCAACCTTGTATAGGGTTTCTGAGGAATAAATGGTGGGTTTGAACTGCCGACCTTGTGGTTAGCAATCCAGTGCTTATCCTACAGCACCACACCAAGAGTCCAGAGTCTGTTTTACTAGTGCACAAAGCTGGGTTTTACATACTGAATATTATTTAAAAGTTTAGCAATCAACAGGGTATGCCTTTTCCTTCTCTGTAGGGTACCAGCCGCCCCTCACACTATCATGTTTTATGGGATGATAACTGCTTTACTGCAGATGAACTTCAGCTGCTAACTTACCAGCTCTGCCATACCTATGTGCGCTGTACACGGTCTGTTTCTATACCTGCACCAGCGTATTATGCTCACCTGGTGGCATTCAGAGCCAGATACCATCTTGTGGACAAAGAACATGACAGGTAATGTAAAAGCCATAATTAATAAAGATTCTCACCAAAATCCAAGTATGGTCTCTGTACTAAAATTTTCTTGAGGAATTTCTCTAAGAACTTCCATGTAAGTAAGTACCTCTTTGTTTGCCATAAAATACTGCCATTTAGAATTAAAGTTACACAGGCTATTAGAAGAATAATGATCCATATGAAAAGTAGTAATAATCAGAACTAATGCCAAGCTAAGATTTTCCCATTGAAATGTGTTTAATGATACAGTGGTTGTATTAGGCTGGTTCTCTAGAGAAGCAAAACTAGTAAAGTTCCTTCATATATGTATATATGTAGATGTATAAAGAGGTTAATATCAAGGAAATGGATCATACAGTTGTAGACAAGTTTCAAATCTATGGGTCAGATGTCTTACTGGAGGCTTAACCTGACTCATGTAACTTCAGGGGCTGATGGACCCAATATCAGTAGGTCAGACTGAGGACTTCTGGCTCAAGTCCAAAGAACCTGAGGTCAAATGATGAGCCAGATGCAGGATCCAGACCCAGCACAAAGCAAGCCAGGTTTTCCACAGCATCCACATATGTTGATAGTAAGCCACACCTGAGGAAACTTCTTTTCGATTGATAGGCTGCTCATAGCAGATCTCATCATGGGGGATTGCCACATCTTAACTGCCAAACCACTGAGAATCCTGACCCTGCCAGGTTGACATAAAACCCAAACTATGCCAGTGATGTACAGATTAATTCAAGGGAGAGGTTACTGGTAATAAAAGTGATATGTATACATACATAGATGTATATACATACATACATATATATATATATATTCATATAAATTTATATGATGTCTGGAATTTGCTTCTAATGAATTCTGAGGAATATGAGAGAAGAAAAACAAAATTGAATTAATAATTATTCAAACTGGGTGATGGTCACATAGGGATCATTATACCTGTCTGTATTTTTTAATACTTTTGAAATTTTGAACAAATAACACTTCAGAATTATTACATGAGAATAGGGTTTGTTACTGTGTTCATTGTCACTTCTCTTGCAGTGCTGAAGGAAGTCATGTTTCAGGACAGAGCAATGGACGAGATCCACAGGCTCTTGCTAAGGCTGTACAGATTCACCAAGATACCTTACGCACAATGTACTTTGCTTAAAAAGTCTAACTATATTCTCTGAGAGGAAGAACTGAAAGAGGAATGGACATATATGATGTGTGTTTCCAGTGGAGTTCAGTTGAGTGGAGACGCCTCCAGCCATACAGAAATCAACACTGTGGGGGACCAGAGTCTGATCCTTATGTTGATACAAGAAAGATTGTTTACTTCAAGGAACACAGCTCCATTATGCAATATGAAACCAGCCAACTGCTATTTTGTGCAGTCTCCTGTAGGAAGTATCGCGATTGTTTTGTTTTTCACTTCTTATAGTCTAACCCTTTTAATGCCTTTACCTCAAGTTGCTTAGCAGCACAACTATCTTTGCAAAAAAAAAAAAAGTAAAGAAAAAAAGTAAATGATGGCTTAAAACACACACAGACATCTACATGAATAATTGAAGTGATTCACAATTATTTGTGCAAAGAAATTAATGTGCATTTGTGTATTCTTGTAATGTGTCTGTGTATATATTAAATATATACATGTGTATTCATATGCATATATATCTAGATCTAGATGATAATAGATATATATGTTTTGTGCATATATTTTTATAATTCATTCCATTGGGGAGCTTACTTTCCCTTTTATTCTCTCCACCACCACTTTAATTTCTCTCTCTACCTCCCTTACCTTCATCACCTTCATTTTTTATCCTAATGCAACCAGTGATATTCAGATATTCATGTCTGGTTCATTTGGAAGTGAAGCCTGGCAAACTAGATTTTAGTTTATTTTTATTTTGCACACCCTACTTCTTTATATTAGCCAACTGCTGTCTCTTGTCCCACACATGATTCTTAGTCCTCAACTCTTGATATTGCTTTCTTACAAAACAAGATTATTTTATATATATGTTTTTGTGTGTGCGTGTGTATATCTGTCTCTATCGTTTTGAACTTACAATTGCCATTTGTGCAATATGTACATAATCAGTAGCAACCTAAGCTTTTATTCTTCAGTAGTTTGTTAAAGCTGCTATAAAACCTCGTCAGAACTTATAACTCTTTCTTTCTGATAAGTGATATGTATTCTAAAGCCTTCCATTTCTATGTGTTATATATGGATATCTCGTAAAGCTTTTACAAAGAGTTAATATTTTAAAAGATTAGAACTCTGTAGGATTGAGGCCTCTGAAATTAGGTGGAGAGAGGGAAGGGATTGTTGGGTTTTCTTTGTTTGCTCTCTTCCTTTCTGCCTCCCATAACTTAATGTGATTTTCATATATATATTTTTATATATATGTGTGTATATATATAAACATATATGTATGTGTTTTGAAATGTAGCTTCCTTTTCTTTTATATTTATTAGAATAGTGCTTTAATAATTATAGAACATATTGGCAACATTTTATAGAAATATTATCATGTTTATTTTAAGAACTATTTGTTTTTGCTATCGTTTAGTGCAATAAGCAGTTTTTAAGGAAAGCTGTGTCTGTTTGGCATCTTTACCATGGATGTGGGAGGAACAGATGCCTCCATAACTTTAAAAGGGCAAAAGTAATATAGCCTTAATTTCAGAAGGAAAGTTTCATCATTTTCAAATTTAAAGCATGTCACTTAAAATCATAATGAAAATTAAGGGAAGTGAAATTGCCTAAATGAGTGTGACCTTGACTTACAAATTAAATAGGACTTTGATTTAAGAAATGACAATAAGCAGCTTCAGATCTAGAAGACATTTAAATACTTTGAAAATAGATCATGTTTGTTTATTGAAGAATCTCACTGGCCAAGTGCCCATTTTTCTTAACTAAAATTAATCAAGAAAATGCAAGATAATGTGTTTAAAACATGTTTTATTCATTTATCTCTAGTGTAACTTTCCTTTTAAGATTAGGTTGTTGGTGACAAAAGGAAATGAGGATTTTGATTATTGAATGAGTTAAATCACTGAAATGTGGAAATGAGTTTTGCAAAACTTTTATTGATTCCACTCTAGGATATAAAAAATACTATAAACTGTCAAAACTGAGTTTATCAGTAATAATATTGGATTCAGGGAAGCTTTGCACTTTGTAACTCATGAAAATTACATTTTGACTTTTTTTTTTTTTTGCACTGGTTCAAAGTATACGTACGACAGATTGTTTCCATTGGGCATTGTTGTTAGCCTTTCCTAATCCATCTTGCATGAAAACTAATGGATTTAGCTTAGTTTCTGTCTTAACCCGTAATCCACTACTATTGCCAATTTACTGTATTTTGAGCCTAAAATCTGAGCCATGTCCTCCAGCAGACATGAAATCTTTTGTCCCTTTGCCAGAAAACTGAAAGTACTGTATTTTATATGTTTATTATATTGAAGTGTCTGAAATGCAGTTTACAACACTGTTTCAAAGCACTTTACATAAGATAATATTTGTATAGTATACACATGTTTTCTCCTAGCCCTTGGCTTTCCCTTCCAAAAGAAAAAAAAAAAATGCTGTAAAACATTTTTTTGTTTTGTATTACATTGAAATTTGACTAAATGTAGTCAGGATAATGAGCAAGAGAAGGAAATGGTATATCCTAGATGGTTAAAAGAGCCCTGGTGGCACTGTGGTTAAGCACTGGACTACTAACCAAAAGGCCAGCATTTCAAACCCACCAAACCTTTGTGCTTCCGCAGATTGGCAGTTTGCTTCTATAAAGAATACAGCCTTGGAAACCCCATGAGAAGGTTTTACTTTGTCCTATAGGGACACGATTGTGTTGGAATCAACTAGAAAGCAATGAGTTTTGGGGTTTTTTTGTGTGGTAAAAGTGTCTTGGTACATGCTTGCTCAGTTTGAGGAAACCACGTTCTCTTCAGTGAGAGTTGCACAGATTCCTGTGAGAAACTTTAGGGTCCAGGAAAAAACTATAAATACTCCTTCTCTGCTTACTGCATTACGTAATATTCAGTCAACTAGTCACATGTGCTAGAGTGAAGCCCTTAATTTCCATCTATCTGGAAGGACTTTTTAAGAGGAAAAATATATATATTTTAAATATAAAACTTTACCTTTTGAGTGATTTCTTTTCTAGGGTACTCTCACACTATTCCAGTAGTGCTAGTTTAAGTTGGTTAACTTTGCATTGGTAGCATGTTTTCTGTTATGCTTGCTAAGAAATTAGTGTATCAGACTTATTTACAAGAAGCCGTGTGCTTAGAATTTTAAAATAAAAGGCTAAGTAGCAAATACCTTTTTTTTTTTTTTAAGTTCTTCAAGCTCATAGCAGCCTATCTGCTCCTGCTTAAGCTCACCAGCTATATAACGAATGCTAAATTTTCACCTGCTACTTCTATGATGTGTCTTATTACTGGCTAAAATATCACTCACAACAACAAACTGGTTTCATTGATTTTCATGTGAAGAAGGGTTGAGAGTATAAATGTATATTCTTGATGGCAAATGTATCTGTGTAAAGTGCTGATCCGTGTATTTGTATTTGTATCAAGTTGCTGGCATTGAGGACCATACGTTTATAATTTGTAGCTGCTATATTTATTTAAGGAGAGTCTGACAGTTACTGCACTAAACAATAAGGATGTGAACAGGAATCAAGGCCAGTGTTAGACCCATTTGAGTGTTTGTTTTCTAAAGAAGACAAAGGACATGAGATATAAAGTTAACCAAGGGTGCTGCCATTTTAGTTGCAATTTAATATAAGGATAGTTTTATTTTCAAAAAGTGGATTCTGACTTGCAGTTTTGAAAAAAGGTACTTTTGAAAAAAGTGCTCATCCTTCTGAGTACTGATTTTTGGCATATTTTTACAGAAGTAGAGATGCCCTTTATTTTTATTAATCATTCCCTTTTTAAATTTTTCTCAAAAAAAAAATATTCTTCTATGGAGACATTCCTTTGATAACCTATTAATTTATTTCTCTTCGTAGAAGAGAGTTCAGGAGGGATTCTAGTTGGAATGTATGGAGTTGTTTTGGAAGACACTTCATAACTATTCGTTTACCTTCTAACATAGGGATCCCAGCCTTCTAGTTTTCCAAGTCAGATTCTCTGATGACCCACCATTGCCTAATATTTACTGTGTATTCTCTAGTGGCATTTAGTATGACAGATTTAAAGTCATCATAAACTCAAGATGTACTTAAGGGAATGTAAGCTGAGTTGCCATTCAGTAGAAGTAGCGGACAGAGGATCTCCATGATAAAGGAAAGGATTGGAACTCAGAGTGTCTGTAATGTATCAAAGTTAATTAGATAAGTTGCAGACCAGGAACATGGTGAGTCATTTCAAGAACTAACATGATTTTGCCATGGGCAGTGAATTTTATGAAATTCAAGAAAGCTAGTCATTCAGACCCAGTAAGAATATCTGTAGTCTTACCATTTCAATCTTGATCATGTTTGCCAAGAAACTTAACTGATAGCTCTTCATAATTTTTATTTCATATCATTAAACCTCAGTTAAATATTTGCTTAACTCATCCTCTTATACTGAATACTTTAAAATACAGATTTCCCCTAATTGCCACTTAAATGATCTTTTAGGAGTTTTATCAGCCAGGCTGTAAAGACACATCACTGGCCTGGCAGCTTTATTTGGCTTTTGTTATATCCATTTGAAGTTTGAATCATTTTCATTATTTTTAAGAATTCATAGATATCTTAAAACTTCAGTAATAGTAGTTGTAAAACTTAACCCAAAGTTAGGCCTTCTTGAATGGTGGTATAACCTTGACTCTGAAATCTCTCTTTATTTTCCTATTTCCCTGCTATTTAATCAGATAAAGGACTTTTGTGATTCTACAAGAGTCAGAAAATCAGCCAAGAATAGAGATGTAAAAATCGGCACAGAAATGTGAGTGAGAATTTTCTCAAAAAAAAAATATTTTTTAAAAACGTCTTTTTATACTAAGGACATTCTTAATCAATGGCGATGTTAGAAATCACATATAACTAATGAAAGCTAAACTGACTCTCAGGAAGGAAAAAAAAATCTATATATGTAACAAAGGGAAAAAATTACTTTGACTTTTTTTCTGCTTAAAACAAAACAAAAAAA